CGTTGGAAAATTAAATGAAGGATGTAACCATGTTTCTGTTGCGTTCCGGCGACCGAGTTCCGTCCGGATGCCGCGGATGCATAAATGAGGAGCGAAGACGCGAGCCCGTTGTGTCGGTCGGCTGCAACCTTCGAACGGCCGCGCCGCGCGGAATTAATCAATTCTCTCGCCGTTGCTCCGTCCGCTCGCGATTTATGCAACTTACGGCGCGCTCGGGGGATCGCTGGGGATGATAAATCTGTTCGATCCCATCCTCTCGCGGATTTACTCATCTTCTCGGCTTCTTTCCCCGGTTTCCCGGCGGTTATTCCGGTTACCCTCGGCTGCCGGCGAATCGTTTGACCGTATTCCCACGGCAACGGTACGCCGCAATCACCGAACGACGGGATCGCGCCGCGAGGAGAATACTTGGGAATATTTCCAGCAATGTCGGATACCGCTCGCTACGCTCCCCTAATTAAACGTCGTGAGGAACGCCTCGGGCGTGATCCCTGAGCGCGACCCTGTCGTCTGACTTTCTTATTAGTTCGCTATTTCGTGCATCTCGTCGCTAATTAGTCGCCAGCTGCAGTCCCGGGCAAGTACGTAATGCAAAATTTCAATTGTTCGGCCTGTTTTTGTGCAAATTATGCGTTCGCTCTGGAACAAATTAAGGACGAGGATGCCGTCTGAGGCTCCGTGTTCGATATTTTATCGAGATCATTTCAAATATCTCTTGTTGGCATGAATGACTTCTTCGAATTATTGAAGGTCTGTCGATCGTAGAATAGCTGTACCTGCACGCATTCTAATTCCTTAATTAAATTATCATGCTAATATTTCATTCGTCGCAATTCACCTAGACATTAGAGATATTTTAGCGTCTCTAATAAACTCGCGAATTAGGAGTCAAAGGAACAGATAACCGACAAAAATCTTCCCGGAAGCATCAACAGAAAATTCACTTGCCTCGCGTTCCCGTTTCATAGTCATTAGACAACCGCGGCATCCCCAGATCGATTAAGATTAGGGCATCCTCTAGTCGCGAAGCAGGTAACAAAACGATTCGCTCGATGACACCGTTTCCCAAATTTCCATAGCGATAAGGTAATGTACATCGTCGCGTATTCGCAGCTCTCGAACAATCGCAGTTCCAGCGAGCGTCGAGACGGGACGCTATCTTACTGTGGATCGCGGGGCACGTTCGAGAAGAAGAAGCTCTCTTGGGTCGCCTGGCTGCAGGACGTTTGTTCCAGGGTCGGCGTAATGAGTTATGTCAGCGGCAACGTCGTCGCATTATTAGCGGGGATGTTCGAGGCATGCGTTCCGAACGACGAGCTACTCCTATGCAAAACGTGATAACGAGGCGCTGTTAGCCGTGCGAGATACATCGCACACCCTCGCTTCATGCTTTACCATTCAGACTGTGCAACGTGGAGAAAATGTATAAAATGTATCGCATTCGACGTGTGTTAAGAATGGAACTACCGAATAATTAGAGCGACTTGTTTAACGTTTTCAACCCTAATCGGATCACGATGTGACTTTGAGTCACATTTGAACTTTTTACTTAAATTTTTTGAGTAT